ATAGCAAACATACGTTTGCTTCATCGGCACTCCCACCAATAGAATATGATATAGCAGAGGCCTGACCTTCCTTGAAATTCACTTATGCCCTGTGACTCGAGGGTACTTGTGGCAGTGTATCCGAGTGGTTAGCCTGTCAAGCTACCGTCCTGCACTGTCGCGGTTCGAATCCCGCTGAGGGTGTTGATAAGTTGATGCGAGGTCGAAACTGCAGTCCACTCCCGCCGGGATGAGAACAACTTTTAGGAAAGCAAGGTTATGTGAAATTCAATGGAAAACGTCAGCTCAACTCATATCATTGTGGGAAAATTCTACTACCAGTCCTTCAACTAAACAGGGTGAATACATCTCATTACATTGATTTACTGGTAGTCTCGAAACCCTACTTACTTACTAATATAAAGGAGAACTAATTAAATCAATCGTTATCTATCTATCTATATCTGTATATTTTAGTTTTCTAATTTCAGTAAATATGACGTCCGTGGAGTATTACTCGGGTTTTGGTTTCGTCTGGAGCCGATTTCCTTCAGATTGCTGGCGCCCCGAGCTGGAATTCCCCAAGACTCCATTTTTCTTAGAATCCGGGAATCGGCTGAGGTGCCTCTTCTTCAGTCCTTTTATCCGAATCTGCCTCAGGCCAAGGTCAGTTTGACCTCCGGCGAAGGGGAATCAAATTGGCTCAGCACTGAGACCCAAACGAAATCCTTCAGCCATAGTGTCGTTAAGTCAGTCTATGAGGAGAGAAATTGCTTTGCTTCGCAGGTGTAAATCGTGCTTTTCCGAATCACATCTGATCACGAAGCCTCTTCCACATGGCTCAACTACGCTGTACATCGTCTCAATGACCCAGTTGCTGCCATCCTCCTTTGCGTGCCGCCTATATCATTCACACGCATCACAACTGCTTCTTTATTGCTCCTGTCCATGACATTTAACAGCACAGGACACATGCCAGCTGAGATAAGAGATAAGACAAGATATTCATAAAAATTAAGTTTTGGGACCCTCACTAGATCTGGAAGCAACTTTCTGTTCACTTTTTATCCTACCCTCTACTCATGGAGCATAAAGAGAGGTTGGAGTACATTTCATTTAGAAATGGGTTGACCTCGCTTTTATAAATTGGTCTCGTTGTCAGGGCGACTTAGTAGAACGCACCTGATCCGAAGTCCTCTGTCATAATCTTCAGCATCAGGCCATGGACTTGGTACATTCTCAGATGTTTCGTCGGCATCGTAGTTGACACAAACAGTTAACCGCACCAAGCCACAAACTCGTCAAAGAGCCAAGTAAAGTCAATTCCTCGACCAACGTTCTGCCGAAATAATGGCAAAACTCATAAATGATGCCAGAGAAACGTCTGAGAATTCACCAAGTTCACGGTATGCTGCTGGGAGTTACGACAACTGCTGTAGCAGAGGAATTCAGACAAGGTGCGTTCATCTAAGTCGTCATGACAACAAGATCAAGTTGCAAAAACGAGGTCAACACACTACTATAAGTCAAAAGGAGACTCGGACCATACCAAGGGCCACACCATCTTACCTTTTATTTAGTTTGAAAAATCATCAGGCTAAATTGGCTTCAACGAACACCAAAGAAGGATTGCTTTGCATCTGCGATTGCCGGATTGTTTGTACACGAACCTGACTCATCGTTTTGCGATCTCGATCCATTAATACTGAGAATACATGAAACATGCAGCAAAAACTCGAAAGCAAAAAGATAATCAGCCGAAATTCTACTTGAATAAGACTTCCATTGTTGTAGAGACTTTCATTTCGTATAGAGTGACTGATTGGTTGATCTCACCGGAAGACGACGGCAAATTCTTGTTGTACTGCCGCCATTTGGCTCTAATTCAAAATTCAGGTTGACTCTGTCCAAGAAACATCCTTCCTCGTTGCGGGTGAAAACGGTGGAAATCGTTATATCTTGAACTCATTTCTATAAAAGTCTCAATTTAACACTAAGTCAAAAAGA